AGATCTGAGGAAAGTTTTTCCTGTTATAATCTTTGACATGAATTCAGCACCACCTCGCGCGGTGCTTGACGAGATCAGCACGCGCGTAACCGAGTGTCTTCGCTCCTATGCAGCGTTTGGCGCGCGCACGTACACACGCACACACACTCTACGTGCAATATTGGTCGCGGTCTTTTTAGCTGACATGTCTCTTTCGTCCTGTGGCAAAATGGTAGAGCAACTCAAAAGATTGAACCAAAAGGAGTCTTTTTCTTCTAATAGTTAGATTTGGGCAAAATGCGCCAAAATGGCTATGAGGCGGAGTCAATATTATTATTTTCTCATCAAATAACGTTTTTGCCATGCCTCCACACACTCTGACAACATACACTCCTCCTCCTCCACACTGACAACAACAAAATACTCTTCACCTCCTCCTCCACACACTCTGACCACAACAAAAACACTCCAGCTAGCTAAAGCTAGACATACAGTGTGTTTGCTAATGCTTTTAAAAATATGTTTTTGATGTGGATATTCGGACTAAACATTGGCAATAGCAGCGCTCACACACCTGTCACACCGCTGATCCTCCTCCTCCTCCTCTGCTCACACAAAGGGGTCTGCTCCTCTGCTCACACCTGTCTCGCTGCTCCTCCTCCGCGAGTATCCATCTCTCCTACACTGCGATCATTCCCGTTACTTTCTTTGTATCTCACTCAGACACTGCTAAAGTTATCTGACAGTTTTTTCGGAGGACCCGTTGCATACATAGCTGCCCGCGCGCCTGCCTGTTTACAAATCGCTTTTGGTGAAAATTTGACTTTACTTGTAAAAATGTTCTTTTGATCAAACGAAATCAAAGAGGTCCAGAGAAAGGGGTTTAGGGTTCCAAATTTGGAGTGCAGTCTGCCCTTTGGGGACCCTTGAACTAGTGTATTTATAAAATAAAATAAAAGGAAGGAAGATTGCGAGGCCCCTGTGTGGTGCGAGGCCCTGTGCGACGGCACAGGTCGCACAGCCCTTAGGACGGGCCTGACTGTAGCTACAGCTTTATGCTGGATTTTTAGTACCATTGGAAGTTCCAGTGACATTATCTACTCTTAAACTATTATGCATCATATTGAGAAATAAACGTTCTCAATAATATATTGGAGATGATTTATTGGTTGTAATTTTTAAAGTTAGTATTTCTGTCTGCTATGTAGAAACTTTAAATTAAAATAGTTTCCATATTTTGTGGTAGCTCAATGATGGTGACATAATGCTAGAGTAAAAAGAAATGCACAGAATTTGTCTTTGGGAGATGGTTGTGCTAAATGCATATCCAGTCGTGCACGGCAGCCGCCCTGTGTGATCGGTCATGGTGGTTTTCTTCACCGAGTAATCACAGCCCAGGGTCACTCAAACACCTTGTGCTCCAGTGGAGATGAGAAAATAACTGCAAGAAATGTGCCATCTAAAACAGAAAGATCATCTTTAGACTGTCTGAGGTTTTCATGCTGGGGTTAGAGCAGTGTCAAAGAAAAGCTATCAATTACTGTTGAAAAGGTTATGCAATTTGTCACTTCCCGTTTTTACATTTACTGACATTTTCTACTATTGGTTACTTTACCTTTTTACATATGTGGACTCAAGAACAGTGTTTTCCTCATAGGCAGAACAAGATCTTCATCTCTTTTTCAAAATAGAATGTTTTTTTCCAATGAAAGAAACCAGAAATGCATTTAAAATATAATATTATATCATGCTTACTCTAGTGGTGCTTGAAGAGCATTTGACCAGATCACATACGAAGGGCTTAGCCCTGCTATGATTGTTTGCGTAGGCTGACACATCTGCAGCTACAGCTGTCCTGGAGTTGTGCCACCCTGCTCCATGCACTAGGCACTTTTTCCTTAAATTCTCTTTCTTCAGTTTTAGACGCTCCTTTTGATTTGCTGCTGCTAAATTTGTCTTGCCAGCATCAACGCAAGAGGCCAAAATGACACCATTATTTTGACTAGACTGTTTTTCCTCCAAGCCATGAGAGGCCAAAGGAAGTGTAGGTGACCAGAGCTGGTTAACCACTGCTACACCACGGGCTGGCTGGGCACTGCCACCCCCACAGCTTCTGCATCCTTGTGCATATCACTAGTACTGCACACCACATGACCACAGTGTCGCTTTGAGAGCGCTCTGCTGGGTGCTGGGTGCTCCCTCTCTCCAGAGCGTTCGAGTAAACAGTCTGCTGTCTGGCTTTGCCCTGGCATAGCACTGATTTAGTTCTTATTTACACGCCAGATGTGTATATGTTTGTGTATGTTCACCGCCCTGGGCCTGTACCAGCGGTTAGCACAGATTTTAGTTGCACTACTCAATGTTGTTTTTATGTTGAGCTATTGCAACTGAAAGTAAAGATCCTGTCTGGGACCAATCAGGCGAGAGACCTCGGTAGTTTTATTCTTGAAGCAGCAGGGAAGGCACTAAACCGCCTTTTTTCTTCTGATCAGAAAACAAAGCCATATGTTCAATTGCTACTTTACGGACACAATTACTTGTATTTCCTTTGTGACTTTTACAGCACGTGTAACTAATCTAGGATCTATGTACACCACTGGGGCTCACTTGACTTAATGTTCTCACAGGACCCTAAAACAGTCCGCCCTAACCATATCTGAGCTCCAGATGTTGACATGTGTCTACTGTTGATCAGAGGCGTCCCTTGCCATTAGGCAAGGCAGGCAGCTGCCTGGAGCCCCCAAACCGGCAGGGGGCGCCCGAGGGCCGACTGATTTGACACAAGCGGTCGATTTGTACAGGCTACAACAGCTACCCAGTGATGAGTTGGCGGATAAAAACTTCTCGTCTGATGCCTCCACAATCGGGGATCGATTCTGAGCAAGACAAATGTTTTGGATCTAAACTTTATTTATTATATTCTATGACAGATTGCTCAAGAAAGGTAAAAGGTAAAAACAAGCCGTTTTTTGCAGATTAAAGCTAAGAGCCTAATCTTTCATTTGGATTTTGTAGGATTACAACATCTGGTTATGTGGTCGGTATCGGGGCCCCCAAGGACTGGCCCCGGGGTACCCTTGGAACGCCACTGCTGTTGATTAGAAAACACAAACAAGAGAAAGCCACGGAGATTTGAGAAGTGAGCTAAAACTGAATCTGGGCCAAGCTTCTTTTGACAGTATTATTTGGGACAAAAGGTGCACTGTAAACACTGTACCCACGCACACTGTGGTGCAGCTCTTGAGGTGTTTTGGTCCATTTCTTAGTGAAAGCAGCACTCATTTCTTCCCTGTGGGAAAAGACATAACACAATAGTCGGTTAGACCAGAGGTGTTCATTTGTTTAGGTTTGTCTGACGGTTATATTATTTCAATTGACCCACAATTTCTGAATAAACATAACACAAGTGCCTAATTGAAGTAAGAGGTCTGGATAAAGTGAACTGGAGATAGGGCCCACAACATCCTCAACCTTTAGTTTAACCCAGACCTTTATTCAGCAAAAGTATTTATCCAGACACTGGATCATCATCACCCTAAATTGGTTTGACATTTGTTACATAATTCATTTGCTTGGTGTCTTTAGCAGAGACGGGGTGAAGAGAAAGTGATGAGTCACAGTATAAAGAATCTCGTTTTCTCATGGCCAGACACAGGACTGTGGTGGTCTGCCAGATTTTCCATATTTTCCATGTTTCTCCTCGGCCGTGATCCTAGCCATGTAAGTCGTGTCCAGACATGTCAGACTTTCCTGAGCAGCTGTTGCTGAACGTTTCCCATAAGTGCCTCCAAAAAACATTCAATTGTTAAGAAATACAAATGTATTTTGTTTAATTCACGCAACATACTGTAAATTGTTGTTACCTACAGGAATATGTTGTTTGCATCTGACCCATTCTGGCTCCTGGCAATCTTAAATAGTCTGTGTCGAGAAATATTATTTATTCATTGTTTAATTTTGTCTGGTACAACAGGCATACAAGAAGCACACCTATACAGGTCTGACATTGTTTTTAAGTGGCTAACTTATGCCACGCGCAACTTTATGGGAATCCAACTCAAAACGTTCATGCTTGATCTGCCTGGTGGTGTAGCTTTTGCAATATTTTCCAGACAGACTATTTTTAAAGTACTACCAATGATTAACAACTTAATAATCCATAGTGTCACTGGGTAATATTTTCTTAATTGTCTTTCCACTTGTACAGCAGAATTCCCTAATAATAGTCTGTAATGCCCATATCAGCAGGTTCCCTCTTAAGCAATGTCAGACAGTGCATGTGACAGGTTACACTATGGATAACTGCAGCTCTGTGACTGCTCTGAAAAGCACATTTAGCTCTAGTCTCACAACATTGACCAAGGCTGCTGATATCTTGGTCGCAAGTTTTAGTGAGCGACTATAAAGGGATGGCAATTATCCCAGTGCCGCTAGTTTCAATTTAAAAGGTATGTCTGTACACAAACAGATACTGTGTGGTCAGACGGCTGGGTTTGGGCTGTGGGGAGAGTGTCAAGGGGAGAGAAAGTGCGCTGAAGAAGGCAAGGGGCAGTGGGTGAAAGTAGGAGGAGTCTGTCTGGGTGTGCGTGTGTGTCATCTTATTGAGGGGAGTGAAACTTTCCCGCTGTTTTGATCAAAATCCAACAGAAAAGTGGGGTGTGGAAGAGTGACATAGAGAGGGAGAGCAGGAGCGAGAGAAATATTTCCACCCACCCAACAACGACTCATAAAGGACCAGCAGACAGAGACACGCTCAGTAAGACACAGGATCTTAGGCCAGCAGCAGTTTAAACACTAGAAACAGACTTTCATTGATTTGAGGGAAGATGCTTTTTTAAAGGCATAGCAAATCAAATTAATAAACACAGCTTGACCCTACTGAAACTACCTACCTGACAGACAAGAGCTAATACTGACTTGAGGAAAAGTCCACACACACAGAGACACACATCCTGTAGTCCTTTACATAGCCAAAAGTGTGACCCAGCGGTGAACATCTGAGAGGAAGGCGAGCAGAGTGGATGGATGCCTTTTGCAGACTCAGTGGCCTGGACCCTCTGTGGGTAAGTCATATAGGAAAAACAAACATGAAGTTACTTGTATCACTGCAGCAGAATGTATGCAGATGTGCACTAGAAGCTGACCTTTTGTCAAAACTAGCAACAGAACAATAGCTTTCATTGACAACTAGTGCTGGACTAATTTGCATCTTACGTTTTGTGGGGTAAAAACCAACGGGAAGCAATTGACACCGGAGCATACAGTGGCCTTCTCAGGTTGCACTCTTTACCTACATTAGTGCATTAGAAATGTAACACCAACTGCCTTTGGACTTCAGTCAAATTTGCGGCCGCTTTTATCCTTGTGTGCCCTCTGATTTGCCTCAAGGAGATGCTGTAATGTCAAGTGCCAGTGGGTTAGTAGCAGTGTGCATGTAACGGTTTTTAGTTTTTTCCTTCACATTTTCACTTAAAAAAGCTTCAAAACTGCACATTTAAGTTGTACATAACATTCTGTCTGATGTCCTCTTCACTTCAAACCATATTTTGGCCATGACATTTATTTTAACTTATTATTTTTGCTCTGATGAGTTCTTTGAAGTCATTTGTTTCCTTGATTAACCACACATTTTTATGTTCTGCCAATCTGCGATCTGCTTTGGTTGTTTTCCAAAAGCTGCTCAACTGGTAATATTGCACAAACTAATCCCAAATCAGTTAGTTACGCATGATCAAATTTAATCATGCAGAATACATTTCGAAAAGAAAAGTAAAACTGCCAAAGGAGGTGATTGATTAGTTGTGAGTTTTTTCCCATTCAAAATAACTCGGTAGTCTAAGGACGTATTTTAATTCAATGCATGCTCAATATTCTGCTTTACTGTTTATACCCTAAACACTGGGCCTGTATTAATGATATATGTTTAGGAAGGGTTTAACAGGACACATGTGAGACTTACTGTGCACCATAGTTTAGTGAGCAGCAGAAGAAAGTGCTTATAATGCGTTTATCAAGTCCAAGTCTTTACAAAGTGGCCTGGTTCTGCTGCTGCCAGGAGTCAGAGGGGTCTGTGAAAGAGCCTTCCCCTTCACACACTCTGATAAATCTCTTTGTCACACTGTCGCTAATAGTGAACATTTTGCAATGAGAACTGTAGATTTTCATGACTTCCTGTAAACTCGTGCTCCAGTTCCAGGTCTGTGATTCAGAGTGTAAAAATCCTTAGGTTCTCCAGCGGTTTGCTTTGATGGTAATTAATTGCTACACTAGCTGTGACATGTTGCTTTTGCCTGTAAGGGACTATCTCATTACCAGTGCATCAACAAATAGATCATTGAGTGCAATAGACTGTTTAACTGTCCTTACAAGACCACTTTTTCTGATGTGAATATCAGTATGCTCACTGGTGCTAGTAGCGCTAAACTATTTCCTGCGACTCTCATCACAGGGCAGAGACCAGTCTCTCATTAGAGGCCACTGCACAGGACTGTAGAGGAGCTGAGCAGCGCTGTCAGTGGAAGACTGAGGCACCTTCAGTGCATGAAGCACCCCATAAACATAACTCAAATACATGCGAGAAATTTGTTATTTAGCATTGAATAAATAATACCTTAATAATAATTTGTCGTGTTCAGTGCAATTTAATACTTTAATAAAGCTAAATCTGAAACAGTGATCACTGTGCCCCAGCAACGCCCAGCGCCCCAACTCAGGCCAGCTCCAGTCTCAAGAAGCAGCTTCCACAACAGTAAACCAATCATGCAGAGGACCGATGGTCCAACACACACAGGCGCCAACGACACCATGAGCAACCGCCTCACTGGTCAATCATACCATTGTTTTATTCTTTCAGATGAAAAGGCGTTTAATCAATTCTACAGAGTTTCTTTACCTTGGATAGAGCCGATTATCACCACCGTGACTGTCCTGGCTCCACCTTCAGGCAGAAGATACTTTCTTTTTGTTTACTTTTTTTTATTGTTTTTTTTTGTTCTTATTTTCTTTTTAATTCATAATCTTTTGTATATCCAAATGCAATCTAGACAGTGAGGTCATTCCTCATTGCGTTTTCACAGAATGCCACCATGACGTTAGCCTGATTATACCACACCACTGCCTATTATGTAATATTTAATATTACAAAATATATCTTACACAAACAAGACTATCTTGCACTTTTTCATGTTAAATTGCGCATTTCCTGTCCTTTGCACAACCATCATATTTATTCCATGTCAATTTCTGTCAACATTGTGAGATCAAAAGTTTATCTTATCTTATCTTATTAGGGGAAAGTTGTCGAAGTCATTTGAACCATTGCAATGTTTTGTCCATCAGCTGAACCCACTGTTTCATAGTCATGTATAATACTATATATGAGATTTAAATTATTATTGTACAATCAGTTTTACATTGTATTTTCCGGACTATAAGCCGCACCTGATTACAAGCCGCAGGCCCTAACTTTTTGAAATAAATTGAATTTTGTCCTTTACTTGCCGCACTGGATTAAAAGATGCACCTATCCCACTTTGTAACATTGAAAAATGTAACTCAAAAACGTTCATCACGTTCTTATTCCTGTGAGTTATCAGAGTAAGAGTAAGGCGAGTGAGTCACCAGCAGAAAGGTACGGAGCAACATCTACTGGTCTTTTTTCTCTTTCATAGAATCAACAAACTATTTTTTAACTTTATTTATTCTGCTTGATTGACAAATCTTACTATATAATTGGGCCTCTGTGAGCTACGCATCAATTCTGTTGCTCAAAAAAAAAATTACTACAATTGTCACAACACAGGGAAAAAGCTGCGGCTTACAGTCTGGATTTTACAGTTGGTTTGAGCAATATGCAGATTGCAATCTCTAGCTCAATTGCGATTATCAAGACCTGAATAAAGGAAAGAAAGCATGAGTTTTCTACCTCTTTTCTCACAAATGGAAATCATGGTGATTCTTATTTTTCCCATATATAGCTACATTTTTAGCATCATGTTATTACATGGTCTCTGCTAAAAAAAATCTCTTGAAATAGTTACATAATCTTTAAAAGAAAATACCATGTTAAGGTATTGTTTATGACCACTATTATTAGTGTAATCCTCCACCACAACGTTTTACATCCAGGCTTACTAAAATGAAGAAACCACCCAACAATGTGGTCAGAAACCAACTTTTACTGAATCAGCTTTTTTGTAAACGATGACTCTTTCCAGCGCTCCCTGGTCCCGGCGCACAGATCCTCCATTGACTGACTGCGGTTACATTGCAGTGGCGGATCAAACAAACCAGCACCATGTCTGGCTCAGGGACTTGGGACTTGTCCGCTCACTTTACATAATTTTTCAACCTTCTTCTTTTATATTGTCAAATGAAAATGCTCCTGCACACTGTTAGTGGTCCCTCTGTCCTTCATCAGGCTTGAATAATGTTTCCCGTCTCGTCTCTTACCATAGACTGTGAATATCTCTTACACACAAGTCGCCAACTAATTAGGTGTATAGAGCGTGATATATTGTTGTCCCTATTGAAGAAAAAAATAATGCTACAACTGAATAATAGTTCTCACCAACTGTTTTCTTAAGGACTGGAACCGCACGTGGTACACGGCCAACCCGGACCTGACGCAGTGCTTTCAGAACACAGTGTTGGTGTGGGTGCCCTGCTTCTACCTGTGGCTGCTAGCGCCTTTCTACTGCCTTCACCTCTACTGCCATGACCGTGGACGCATCAGCATGTCAGGCCTTTGCACTTCCAAGATGGTGAGGAACTGTTTGCACTCTTTGGACTCGCGTGTCTCTCAAAATGTATGTAATTTTGCAGAAATATTTGGCAATCTGTCATTGAGATGCCTTCTGTGCAGGTTTTGGGGTTTCTACTGGCTTCCTTTGGTTTTGTGGAGTTCTTCTACATCCTCTTGGAGAGAAGCCAAGAGATCCAGCAGCACATGGTCTTTCTACTCAGTCCCATCATTCGCAGCATGACAGTCGTAAGTACAGGGCTGTTGTCTACACAAACTGTACATTATAGTATATATAGTAGCGATACAATTGTCTATCCATAACTTATCTAATAATTATGTATTCAACACGTTTATGCTGACCCTTTCATATTTCAAATCACATACACATACATACGCAAGCAATGAATCCAAATGCAGCATATTTGTAATTATGTATTATTTTGCAACATTTCGGACAAACTCACTTTCACTGGCTTACAACTGAGAGTGCAAATAAAGCAAAGAATATAGAATAATGTGTCACACATTGTTGGCTAAACATGCAGGTGCTAAGATGCCCAACAGGGGCAGATTTATGGCAGTGCAGGCAGCGCAAACATTACAGTTCACTGTAAACGCAGTCTGTGTTTGACTTTGGCTCATCAGGTCAAAGCTACATATACACTGACATCACTTACTGTAAGATGTGGAATCTGGTTCTCTTAAGCCCCACTGACATCTCAATACTGTGCTGATAAGTAGTATTAAGTGGGCAGCACGGTGGCAGTGGTGGTTATCGCTTGTGCTTCACAGCAAGAAGGTTCTGGGTTCGATTCCACCTCCAGGCTTTTCTGTGTGGAGTTTGCATGTTCTCCCCATGTCCTCCGGGTTGCTCCGGTGTCCCCTACCACTAAAAACATGTACAACAGCTCCTGTATGGCAACCCCAGTCTAACAAATGCCCACAACAATTGTACAGCGCTGTGTGACTCAAATCTGTGAAAGAAAAATAAGAAAGAAAATAAATACTACTACTAGATCCATCCAGTGTTACATCTTTCTTCATTCATAAAAACAACGCTTTTATCACAGCTGGATCTGGACTATGAGCGTGTGTCTGACCTGCTCATTCGCTCCTGATCCGTGTCCAATATGTAATGCAAGTTCCTCTTTAGTGGTTTGACTTGTGTTGACAAATGATATGATTTAAAGTAAATTATAGTTTTTTTTCCACCAGCAGTCTGTGCAACTACAAAAACAATTATATGCAGTTGACCAAGGGACTTTGCGGACTATTGTTGTAGTTTTACATATACTGTAATTCAAATATTTAGAGCCCATTGCGCCTCTGTATAATCTGTAATTGAACATTGCTTATCCTTCCATGTCCCTCGGTTTGGGTGGCACATGGGTGGAATACACAACATTACCCCATCACAGTGAGGGCCAGTATGCAATCAAATATATTATCAATCCCACTCATTCCAGCCAGATTAAAACAATACTGGTCCAGAACCGAGTGCTGACAACATGGGTGGTACAAGTTTTAAATGCAGATCAAGGACATTAGATATAGAAATAATCTCTACAACTGACTGTGGCTATATTATAGTTCTTAAAAAATGTGTTTCTATTCATATGTATGTAGATGGTTGGTTCTCCTGTGGTATTCTAACAGACTCATGAGCAAGTAAGCATGTGTTTAGGTTAAAAAAAATCCACTGAAAGTTGCTTGTATTGCTTATGATTTTAAAAAGGATATATTTTGGGCAGCCTATACACTCGACAGATGGTGTGGACGCCTGACATTCAAATCTACTTGTATTATTTGTCCATTTCACCATATAGTTTTGCTTGTGCTGATCGCAACCACCCACTCCACCAGTCTGCTGCGGGCACAGACTGGGAACACTGTGCCCTTGTTTCGGACTAACTTGCTCAGTCCAGTGTATGGGAACAACTTTGCCCAAGTCATTCTACCCACAAGCAAAAGGCTATTGATGTACATGCATGACATTGACTATAATCAGCCATACTGTACCATGACGTAAAATCCCCTTTACTTCCTCAGCACTGCACACATCCCATATAATTATAAGGTGGGTTTGATTTGGGGCTCAGTGATGGACCTGGTTCCACCCACTGACTCGCACAAACAGATGGCTGATGGTTTTACTGCAATAAGGCCAGTCTGAATGAAGCTGGAAATAGCTCCACCTGACCTCAGACACTGACCCAAGGTTAGCTGTACATTTTACCTCAATTTGGGCCTAAATACAGACTGTACCCCAGGCTTTGTACAGTACCCCATGTTCCTTCCAACCCAGACTCCTTTCATCAAGTAGCTCCAGCAGTCTGAAACAGAAGACTTGATGAGTGGAATCCGGTGTGCTCCTACTTGGTTGGAATGAAAAACTGCAGCCACACAGCCCTTTCTGGAAATGGCTAACTTTTATATGTGACTTGACCACTATATATTATTAGTAAGGTACACATACAATAAACATTCTGACAACAGGAGATGGAGGTTACCAACAAACAACGCCATGTAGAGTTAGTTCTCACCCTTGTGTTACACATTATTCTATAAGATTAAGATTAAAATCAAACAATACTAATATTATTATAGAATAATATATGTTCTATAGGTATTTTCTACAAGACTCAATTTCAAGCATAATGTGATTTGTTGCATCAGTATGTCACTTAGATTTGTCATATAAAACAAGTCCAACATATATGAAAGCATTATGTAATCACTTAAAAGTGGGATGAAATTCTTACAAAACAATTAACTGTTCAAACTAATTCAGTTGAAATCCATAAATAGCCATCACCTTTGGTACATCATAGTTTTTGAGTGGTTGTATTTGGACGGGTCTCTCTTCTCATCCTTCAGCTGCCTGGGCAGGACGCTCCAAATTCCCCATAGGCATGAATGTGGGGGTCTGTCTATCTGCATTCATCTGGCGAGCTGGCAACAGTTCCTCTGTCTTTTTACTCACAAACGATTACATAAAACAACTAAAACAAAGCAAATCGGATGTATTTCTGTATTATAGAAAAACCACTGTTTAAATTGGTCAATCCCATCTTTGCCCTCATACTGTAAACATAAATTACCATACAAAGAAAAACAAAAGCTTCATGTTATCTGATATGACCATCAGTTTATAAAAAGACACCTCATATCCCAAAGTAACCACTGTGGTTTTTAATATGAAGCCTCAATCCGCCTCTTAGTGATGAGCCAGCATGACAGGCTGACGTGTACTTTGACTTGCAATTCATTACAATATAGTTCCTACAAGTCTTTTGAGGGCACATAGAAATACCCAAAGGCTGAATCACTGCTGTAGAAACAACATTATAGATTTCTCCATATAATGTTTGCCAATGTAGTAAGAAAAATACAACCTCAGAGGGTATGTGGCCAACCATACAGTGTCATACTTTTATAGACTAAAGGTTGAAGCCAATTCACATCAAAGTCTGTGGCCAGGGAAGTCCCATGAAGTTTCTCAAAACCAACCAACATTTGGTGGGGTTGAATAAGATTATAAATTATTGTGGACCACAGTAAACATCTGCATCTGAGTCACCCGAAATCTGTTTTTTATCTACGTGTTCAATAACATGCTGTTGTCTAAATCATAAGAAAATAACAGATGTATTGACAATGTTGTTCTTTTCTCCTGTTTCCTGTGCAGATCTTGGCCTTGTGCATCATCCAGCTGGAGCGGATCCGCGGCTGTCGCTCCTCAGTCTTCCTTTTTCTCTTCTGGGTCCTGGCGGTTGTCTGTTCCCTTGTGCCTCTCCGAGCTAAGATCCAGCTGGCTTTAGATGAGGTATGATCAAATCCGTACTTGAGTCCAATAGAATAAAATCATGGATCTTGGGTGCTTTCTGCATATAATGGCTCATAGTAACCTATTTATTAAAACTGTTTTATTTATAATTGACATTGGAAAATCACACATTTTCCCTAGCTTGAGGGAGAGCTTTGTCATGAACCTGTTGAACTTTCTTCTCTAAACACTGTGCAGAGACATCTAATCTAATCACGTCTCCCTCACAATTGTCAGCCCAAAGTCTAGACACAGGACAGCAGCGCTTGAGATATACTCTGTGGCAAAAAACAGATTCTATTTCATCCCCCAATTTTGACCGAGGTAACCTGAAGTTAACCAAGTGTTGGAGGAAGACACTGCCAATTCTGGTCACGGCTGGGTGTGTTTATCTTTTCCCTTTTCTTCCTGTGTCTCTGTCAGACACTGCAATCATTGTTGCATGGGCTAAGAGTCTATTTTAACATCTCTGCTGCAATTTCATTTGCATTTCTATAAAAAACACTGAAACACACACATCCATATTTCTGTTTTATCGCTGTGAGTGTGACATTCCCACACTGCTTGGGGGAGAATAATGATGGGCCTGGGATAAGTGCTGGTGAGACATGGCAGTCGAGGGTCAGACCAGAGGAGCTGCTGTGCTGTGTTTACGACCCTGCATCGTCATAAATGTAGCCAGATGTAAATCTGTGCGTCCACACATGGACGTGTTCACGACGTACCACTGCACACGTGCCAAAAAGACATATGTGTCCAGACATTTCATCCCTGACAAGTATGAGTTCATGTGATAAACTTTGCAGACTTTCAAAAGGCACTTTCTGGAGATAAAAGAGTCAAAGGAGGAAAAAGTTAAGAAGAAAATGTACTTAAGTTTTTGACTAATTACATCATAATATGTGCACTTTTTAAATGTTTTATTGTTTGATGTGCTTCATATCTTTCCGTGCAATCAGGTCCAAGCAGACAAAGTGACAATGCGTTGCCAGCTCAGCACTTTTTTCTGCTTCTTTGCTGCTCAAAATACTTGAGTTGGCAGAGTTCATATTTGTAAACTCTTTCTAAGTCCCTTGACCTACATTTTTCCCACAGACCATCCTGGCCCTCATTTCAACATGTGGCCGGATCCATTTGGCCCCTAACATTGGACTTTCTGGGCACAGCGAGACACATTCATTGAAATGACATTTCTTAGTGTTTACTATGGTTGGCGACTTTTCATGTACACCATATTACTACATAACAAGCCGGCTGCGGTGGTAGTGTTGACCCAGCGGTAAACAATCTGTCGGCCAAATCCCACACTTCTCTATATGTCAAGAATAACATGGCAGCTCTACATTTCACAATAGTGCTTAATGCGTAGTTGCACCATTGAATGAAAGTAAGCAGGACCGTTTTGCAAAAACATCAAGGACCTTATAGAATTTACAGATACAGTTCACTTCAGGGTGGAGTACGTGAGGGTTTGTGTGTGTGCAAAAAGGATTAGCACCATTTACCGTGGGAGAAAACTGATTTATGCTGCACATGCTGGTAGAACTAAAGTCAAGTTTCAAACACTTTTTTACTTTGCACTCTCCGTTTAATACTTATTAACTTATTCTTTTCTTGTTATCATTTTTGTGATTATGGCTTACAATCTATTTTCAAAGTATGCATATTTTGAGATGTTTTGGGGTTTTTTTACCAGTTGTGAGCCAATTATCAACATCTCATTTTGCATGTAATAAGACTGAGCTATTCTGTACCATTTTTCTGAATGAAAGTTCAGTTTGTACTTCCCGCCTGCAGAATCATATCGTGACTGTGCAGCAACCTTTACTTTCATCTACATAAAGTTAAGGCCTAAACCTAATTTAGTTTTAAGACCCCAGATGTGTTTTATGTGTCTGTGAAGCTGGTGTATAAACCATATCCTCTGCTGCCACACAGTTTGAGCGTGTAGGCCTGAGGAATCAAAACAGCTCAATGACACAAGCCACGTCAAGATAAACGACTTTTTACCACAGGATGTCGTGTAATTTGTCAAAGGGGTGTTAGTGTTTTTGATAGGGTGCACAACCGGAAAGCTAAACATTTTGCCTTGTCGATGTGAAATCACTGCTCCCCCTCTTCCTTACAATGTATATTTATTCTTTTTCGCAGGGGATTGCCTCAGATATCGTCCGATACCTCGCATTCTTCTCTTATTTCACGATCCAACTGGCAGAGCTGATCTTATGCTGTTTTGCTGACCAGCCTCCAGAGGGAAAAAACATTTTGGAAAAGGTACTTCGCTTCATTTCTATGTCCGGTCCAATATCCAGGAAAGAAAACGTCTGGGATCCTTGTGGTTTTGGACTTTTGTTGTTGGGGCACTTTCCCTTTTGGAGGATATGATGTGATGTACCTCCGCCCTCGTCTCCACTATTTTTGCTCAGACACTTGGGCTTCCTGTGTGAAGGATGGCGTTGTGTTTGCGCAGGCCCACTCTCACATTCCATCATCAATTCTCACTGTCTGGTGTTTGGCTCATGGCATTATTATAACTATTATGCATGATCAGTGCAGTCTGACAGGTGCCACTTATTTCCTCTGGAATTATGATCCACCGTAATAAAAATAGTATTAGAGATGATACTACGGCGCGTTCCCACTTGTTGTTCTGGTTCTGGCCTTTCTTAGTTCTTTATTTGTGGATGAGCCGTGAACCAATGTGTCCACAAGTCACATTAGTCAGTCTTTTTCCTGTGAACCAGACTGTTTAAGTGAATCAGAGCAACAAGTTTGTCCACATACACTGGTTAGTCAAAAAAAAAGAAAAAGAAAAAACGGATTTATGGGCACTACCTTAGTTTTAGGAGCTAAAAAACTGCTCTTAGTGTGATTTCATTGTGGTACAATTACATTTTACTTTTACTGGACGGAGACAGGAGATGTTTGGCAGAAGTTCCAGATATTAGCGTGAATGGAGCTAAAGACTCGATAAAAACGGACGAAGGGTTGCCCTGACGAAGATCGCTTTTGGTCGAAACGTGTAGGCAGTCTATTTTAATAAAGGTCTTTTATTTTATTTTTCCTACAACAGAGTGCCTCAGACTTATTTTTCTTTTTTCCACATCCTATATCTGCTTAGATTGCCCTGTCTTTGATGAGCACCTGTGTGTTTAGCCCTCTAGCACTCGTACCCTCTGCAGCACTCACCTTCCTTGTTTTAAACTAAAAGGGACAAATGTTGTAACATGGTTGAAAGCTCAAACAAGTCAATTAAGCATAACATGTCTCCTTTAGTAAGTAAGTAAGTAAGTAAATAAGTTAGTATGTGGTCTTTATTTAAAACCAGTACGTACTTCAGCAATGATTGTTTTTGAGACTTTTAGTAACTTTTAGTTGACAAACTGATCAACAAGGCAAATGTTAAGCAGTGGACAGAAAAAAGATCCTGGGTTAAACATCTTAGGGCTTTACTATGTACATTATCCGTGTTCTCCCCATGTTGTCTGTGAAAGGTGCTATATAAATAAAAAATCAAGGCTCCTAGTTGCACCTGTTTGAAAGTATTACATTATGCTGTATTGATTGCTGAATTGCGTCTCAGATTTTTATATGTGCAAATCCACCCTGTATGTTATAATACGGTATTACCTTGGTGATAAAAATCAAAATAGCTGGAAAAGTCCCGATCACCACATTGCTGGTCGCGTGGTGAGGAGGTTGAGGGGGCTGAAGCCGCAGTCTGGCGCAGACACACCCATTGGTTGGTCCTTGGTGTCCCAGCCTCCTCCTTGTTTTTGTGCCCCACGCTCTGGTCACATTTACTCACAGGCAAAGCGGAAGCAGAGGATGAAGAGTTGAAGTAATGAGAGTAAACAGCACTGCAATGAGGGGGCGGCAGGGCGGAGAGCAGCCCTAAAGCATGCTTCAAGCAACCATTTGTGATGACAGATTTCCGCTATGTCTGCACTAGACCTCAAGTAAACGTCACCCCATCGCTCAACTCAATCAAAACATTTGTCTTATGTAACTGTCCGTAAAGTATGATGACTTTAATATTATTTAATGATCTTAAAGGGGGTGTACCTAACTTTCTGTTTCATAATTAATCCATTGGGAACAAATCAGACCACAATATTCTGTCTTCATCTTATTAGAAAACATGTCATGACTTGTTAGAAAGAGCCTTTTGAGTGACTAGTAGCTTTGGTCTGAGAGATGATTGAGTGAGGGTGGTCTTCTCTTTTTCACTTTTCTGTGTGAAAAGCTGATCTAAAGATGTGACAGAGACCAAAAATACAAACATGTGAAAACTAGTGATGGAAGCAAACTTTTTTAAAGTTTAGAGTTTGATGGATTTATGGAGCTTTAGTTACCTGTGTACCCTGTGTAAACACTATGTAGTTTCACTATTACGCCTCAGTGAACCCGTTATTCTTAATTTGGTTGTTTACAGAGATTTGCTTTACGTAACACTGTGTCCTCATGTGCCTTTTTCATTGGGGTTGGCGGAGCAGCGTATTTCCCAAAAGTGAGATTTAAGTAACCCTTAAATGTGGCCTTTAATCTGTTGCAGAATCCTTGCCCCGTGAAGGATGCCTCCTTCCTGTCAAAGATCCTCTTCTGGTGGTTCACTGGGTAAGCTTTCAACCGCACATTTCTGATGAGTCACGGCAACTATCACAACACTTTGTACATGTTTACAGTAATGTTGTGTATTTATGTGTTAAATGAGATGTTTGCTCCTTCTTTAGGCTTGTAGTGAAAGGGTACCGAACTCCGCTGGCGGCTGAAGACCTGTGGACTCTGAGGGAGGAGGACACGTCTCAAAAGATAATCTCAGAGCTGCAGCAGGAGTGGACCGCAGAGTGTGCCAAGCTGCAGAGGTAATGTTCCCTCCTTACTCCCTGGAACTTGTATAAAACCTAATAAACAACTTCAGTCTATACTGTGTGACTAGAATATTAGTACAATAATATATTTTTCTATTTAACTCAATTTGACACTGCCCAACAGTTCCCACAAAACCCCCATAAAACCATTTTTCATTGTTTGTCTCGACAGAAAGAGTCTTGTTTAAGTAACATTTTGTGAACCAATCAGGCAACATGCTGTTTTTTTATCCAAAAATTTGATCTTTTGGCTTTTTTGCTCTCTTTTTCACTGAAAAAAACTGATCCAAAAGTCCATGCATGTGAAAACTAGTGATACAACCAAAATGAGTTTTTTATGACATCATCTTTTTTGGGATTTCAAAGTTAGGTACTCCAGCTTTGATGAGACGTTAGGAGTATTTACCAAGATAATAACGCAAACATGCATCTTCTGAATGAAATCCTGAAATTGTAAAATGATTTACATTACATTTTTAAACCCATGAATAATCAGTAACTAGCTCTCCTGTTGTAAATAGAGCTCACCTGCTATAATTCCTGCCTCTAACTCTGATTCGTCTCAGGCAGGAGAAGGCCCTGGCGGCGGGTGTACCGCTGGGAAGCCGCTTGCCCGACCAGGCTCAGCTGCTCCGGAAGCTGCAGAAGGAGCAGAGTTCAGGATTCTTTCTGCTCAGGACTCTGGCAAGAAAGTTTGGTCCGTATTTTCTCACGGGGACACTGTGCATCATCCTCCACGACGCCTTCATGTTTGCTATCCCACAGGTGCTGAGGTAAGACCAGGCCATTAGAATACAACCGTTCATATTTCATGACGAGTTTTTTCAACCAAAACCACAACATAGCAAGCCTCAATATTAACATTCACTAGCTAGAAGTCTCAACTTTAAACAGTGTATGCAGATGATCAAATGGAAAACAGCAGGTTTGAGCAGAGGGAGTAAGTATAGTACCTTCTGGACACAGGGCGAGTGCCTCTTGACCTGTTTACATCGATATATAGGGCACTGTGTTTAGATTGTGCCCTATATTTCATTTTTGGACTTTCGAATATAACTTTTTCAGAAACCACAAACCAAAGCAGACACAGATCCCTGTATTAAGTAATGTTCCCAGCCTACACTTTAGAATAGAATTACCTGACAGCGATCTAGGGCAAAGTAAATATATGTTTTATTGTGTTCCCTGTCAAGTTCAATTTGAAGATTTAGAGCTATTAGGTTTTTGCGGCGCGATCATGTGGTGGAACTTCAAATTTAGGAGTTTGTGACAAATGGACATGGAGCAGGGCTGGCGGGCGGGTGGGCAGTCTCGCTCTCTGCTAAATCAATGGGTCAACATCTTTATGGTACAACAACAGGCGCTGGCAGCAGTGAAAGCTGGCCAAAGCCACACTCGCCTCTAGACAGACTGGAATGTTGTTGTCGATGCACAAGGCAGCATTAGCAGAAGTGTTAATTACGGACGTGGAGTTGTGAGCAAGAAAAAGTTAGTCGTGACCACAGCTTTTCTGGTCCAATAAAGAGCACAGCAAACGACAGACAGACAGAGGGAGAGAAGGGAGCCTAAACGGTAGAAATGCAGCTACACCACAACAAGGCCTCTGCTGGCCCAGTGTGAGGCCAGTTTGGCCACAGACTGAATGCTTTCGGGCAAGAAGCAGCACCCAAGACCATTAAAACTAAAGGGAATCGGATACTACCAGATTCAAAAGACAAACTAAAAATCCAATTTACAATTTGTACAATGGCGGGGAATGATATACAGATGTAATTATTTTACTGAAAAATATGAATTCATTTTTGTATCATAATTTCATGCATTTTTCATGTATATTTTCTGACATTAGGTAGCCCTATAAGTGTAAAATATGATTTAGTTATGTGCAGCGCTAAAGGCATTTACACAAATTTTCCATGGTTGTCATCACTCTTGAAAAATGCAAATAGAAAAATAATAAATAAAAAGCTGCCAAATAGGAAGATACACAGAGGCGAACAGAATGCAATACAATAATACAGATATGAACAAGAGTTTGTGTGTGCACAATTCAATTCAATTCATTCTTTATTAAGAACACAGAGAATACACAATATTTAGCACCATTATTATTGAAACAAACTGATTAATGCTACACATACAACAAAACCAGGATTGCATAGTTGCCCTATCTACAAATGTGCAAATGTGGTATACCATTGTGAGCAGAGAATGTCTATTGCATGAAGCTGTAAAACAAACTTTGAGCAATAGAACTTTCTGGACGCTCTATTGTTTCATTTACTATTGTAAATGTGCTACTTTATGTTTCATTGGGCATTGGCACATATCAAAATCAGTTTTTTTTCCCCTGCCCCACAGTCTCCTACTGAGTTTTATGAAAGATGAGGACGCTCCCCTGTGGAAAGGCTACTTCTACGCCACGCTGATGTTCCTGCTGTCTTGTCTCCAGTCTCTGTTCAACCACCAGTACATGTACACATGCTTCACTGTGGGAATGAGAGTCAAGACCGCCGTAATGGGCCTGGTTTACAGAAAGGTAACCAGAAATCAGTATCTATGGCACAAACAAACAATTTATCTCCTCTCCCAGACATGGAAAACAGTGCACAGCGTATGATTAACAGCGTTTACCTGTGATGAATTATCGTCTGTAAAATTTTATGAGGTTTTAAAATTATATTGTACGAACACACTGGAGGCCAAAAACTTCTTTGTTTCTTCTGTCATCTATTCAGTCTCTGGTGATAAACAGCTCTGCCAGGAGGACATGCACTGTGGGGGAAATCGTCAATCTGGTCTCCGCTGACACTCAGAAACTCATGGACTTTGTGGTGTATTTCAACGCTGTCTGGCTGGCTCCCATCGAAATTGCTCTTTGTCTCTTCTTTCTCTGGCAGGTAAGTCGAAATGGTAGCGCATGCATGGTACTGGCGACATTTCGCACTTTTTTCATCATGTCTTTTCTTATCACAGCATTTGGGACCATCGGCATTGGCAGGAATAGCCACTGTCATCCTCATCTTCCCACTAAATGGATTCATCGCAAAGAAAAGAAGCAAGCTACAGGTAACTGGAATGTTTGATGCGCAGAGGCTCAGAAGTGCGCTCCGGGACGCCACAGCTGGTTTAGATAGTGGTCAAAAGCTGTGTGGGTGTTTGGCCTGGGCGCTACATTCTCTCCTCTGTCCTTTTGATGTCTGCCTCATATAATGCATTCAAAAACAATGACAGGAAAGGGTGGGTGAGTAAGAAAGCATCATTTTTCATTTCTATGGAAAAAGAACTAAGGGTTCAGAAAAATTAGCTGCCAATTTAATCGAAGTAAGCCTTGAATACAGCGACCGCATTCCTGACGCTTTGTTGTTTCCTTGTCATAAAAAAAATACTGCTATGTAACAAGCTATAAATTCCTTCTGAATTAAACAAAATTAAAGTTTGGAAAACTGTGTGGACACTCTTATTGTCACAAATCCATGTATGTGCTTTGTTCTGGTAATTGTCCCGTTTTTACTTTATAGTTTGCTTTTAATAAGAAAACATAACAGTGGCTCTGTTTGATCAACAGGAGGTCCAAATGAAGTTTATGGATGGCCGCATAAGACTGATGAATGAGATTTTAAATGGAATAAAAATCTTGAAATTCTATGCCTGGGAGAAAGCCTTTCTTGAGCAAGTTCTGGGCTACAGAGAAAAGGAGCTAAAGGCTTTGAAGAAGTCTCAGATCCTTTATTCAATTTCTATCGCCTCTTTCAACTCCTCGTCTTTCCTGGTAATTACTACATTAAGTTAAGTCTGTCTTTTCCAATATTATAAGATTGTCTGCCTCTAATTTCCTTTCTGTCCTTGAATCCAGATTGCCTTTGCCATGTTTGGCGTCTACGTGACCATCGATGCCAGAAATGTCCTGGACGCACAGAAAGTGTTTGTGTCCATGGCTCTGATCAACATCCTGAAGACACCACTGAGCCAGCTGCCGTTTGCCATAAGCACGTCCATGCAGGTACGTGTCCCTTTCTCTTTAACACATGTTGAGAGCCTTTTCTAAATGTAAAGCCTGTGATTATGTTGAGTGTGCCTATATGAAGCATGTAGGTCAGTGTATTAACCACATGTGTGTCGCTGCAGGCTGTGGTCTCCTTGCGCCGTCTGGCAAAGTACCTGTGTTCGGAAGAGCTGAAGACGGACAATGTCTCAAAGGCTCCATTGAGTTCTGGTAGGAGCTCCACCCTTGTTTAAATCCATGCTATTACAAAAAATTGAATACACATCTATTCTGTGCTTTATAATTTCCCCAATTTCCACAATATCTTTCTTCAAATGATAGGTTGCCATGATCAATATGAGATTGTGTTGTTTATATCCGTGGATCAACCGCAGCCTTGTATGGCTCATGCACGCTGTCACTTCCTGGGTCCCTGGCCGACTCGTAGACGACAAAATTATAGGATATTCCCGTTTAGTGGTTGAGCATAAATCACTGCATGAATTCAGACATATGATTCATAGAGAAACCAAACAAAAACTCCTTTCTTCTGCCTCTAATCTGTCAACACGTTCTAAGCCAGCATGGGAGAGACAACACCTCTGTAATTTATATGATTAGGCAAATTCGCTTGTAATTTTGCCCTGGGTGTGCTTCAATGTGAAACTTCAAAGGGGAAATTTGTTTGTTACAGACGTCAAAATTTGTATTTCTTCAGCACTTTACATTGTTATTTCTGTGTTTTTGTCTGAAGGGGAACAAGTTGTGATAGAAAATGGGACATTTTGCTGGTCTGCAGAAGGGCAACCATGCCTGAAAAGGTATGACCAAAACATGAAATACAACAACATTTACAGGTGTAATGAACTTAGAATATTGTTCAAAAGCTCATTTTAAAGTCAGATATGTCAAGCTTTTATTACATTGTATTATGAGTATTATGGCTTGCAGTTTCAAAAACATTTTCAAAATAATCACATTTTTGAAGATGTTTTATTTGAGGTACAAGCTGTGAGCCAATTATCAACATTATCATAGAATTGAATTATTGAATCACAGAAGTTACTAGACTTTTGGACAATATTCATATTTTCCTAGTTTTACCTCTCTGTTGAAGTCTAGTGAAATGCGCACACATTCATCTGTTTGTCTGTTGAAAGGATAAACGTCCGTGTTCCACGAGGGGCTCTCGTTGCTGTGGTCGGACATGTGGGCAGTGGAAAGTCCTCTTTGTTGTCTGCCATGCTCGGAGAAACAGAGAAGTGGAATGGTAGCGTCACTGTGAAGGTATGACCATATTTTCCCAGTGGAGGTCTATTTATATCTCATTTTAGTTTTTAACATAAACAGTGACACCGCTTTGTCCTGTGTCTGCCAAAGGGCTCAATGGCCTATGTGCCGCAGCAGGCGTGGATCCAGAACGCCACTGTTCAGGACAACATCACGTTTGGACGAGAGAAAATGAAATCCTGGTACAACAGAGTGCTTGAGGCCTGTGCTCTCCTGCCCGACCTCGACATTCTGCCCGCCGGGGATGCCACAGAGATTGGAGAGAAGGTACCAGAATACAAAGACCACAGAAACTACACATTCATTTTTTGTTTCAGATCTTAACATATTATATGTGCAAAAAAAGTGTTATCTAAATACATAGAGACAGTAAGAAGCAAAGAAACCCATCTGTTGGTGGCTATAGAAATTGTAAGCTATTCAAAACACACACAATTTGACTGCTCAAGTAATTAAAGTAAAGTAGACTTAGTAAGTTGGTTTTAAAAGGGAGTATGGATTTAGCCATTTTTGAGTTTTCCTTTAAGGATGATCAAAAGCTAAATAAAGTTATGAAAACACTTCCGTCACTGTTAGCTAAACGTTCTTATTTAAAATGACTGTAAAGTAAAGTTAAATATTGTCGTCATTGATGTTACAATGTGTGGCATTTTAAATCTTACTCTGTATCCTATTTAAAAGATGTGTATTTTTTTTTTCAGGGACTCAATCTGTCTGGGGGTCAGAAGCAGCGGGTGAGCCTTGCCCGAGCTGTTTACAGAAAGGCCGACGTGTATCTCCTGGACGACCCTCTGTCTGCTGTGGACGCACACGTGGGACAACACATCTTTGACAAGGTCATCGGGCCCAAAGGAGTTCTCCGAGACAAGGTAAGTCAAAACAACAGCTTGCACCCTTGTCTTTTCATATGTAAACAAGGCCAGCTTTCTCTGCTTTTAAAACATCAGATGCGTACTTCTTGTTTTTATTTGTCTGTGCTTTTTCTGAACAGACCCGTGTCCTGGTGACCCATGGGATGAGCTTCCTGCCGCAGGCCGACCTCATTTTGGTCCTGGTCGATGGAGAGATCACGGAGAGCGGGTCATACCAGGAACTCCTCAGCCGCAATGAGGCCTTCGCCGAATTCATACGCACCTTCGCCAACACAGAGAGGAAGGAAAGTGTCATGCAAAGAGGTAATTGTTCACTCCAAAAATGCATATTGTGCTCTGGTCTGCTGTATGGTTTTAGAGTTCGCTCAGTGAATGTCAACTGTGAATTCTGAATGCTTTTTTTTCTTTCTAAAGCCGGCTCAAGGAGGTCTAACGCTCGTCTCAGCATGATCGATTTCATGCCCTTTTCAAGAGACCTCTCACAAGAGCAGCTCATTGGGTAGCTATATATTTTTATCATCATTAAGTGGACTGCTTTTATGCTTTTCTGACGATCTTGTGTCATTTATAGAGGAGACACCACTAACACAAACCTGCAGAATATGGAGCCAGTGTCAGAAATGGACCAGGAGCAGATACCTGAAGATCTTGGGAAATTAACACAAGCCGACAAAGCCTTCACTGGACGGGTGAGCTCAGAATAATCAAATATGTTGCTCTTCACAGCTATATGTGATGGTGAACTAGTGAGCCCTGGTTTACACTGTTATATAAAGTAACAACAAAACAGGTGTAAAGATACAAAAACATATTATAGCGCTACAAAACATTGCAGTTCAGTCGCTTCACTCTACAATCCTTCAATATTCCTTCTCTGAACTTTGTCATGTCTTTTACAGGTCAAATTGGACATGTACAAGAAGTATTTCAAGACCATTGGATTGGCTCTCATCATCCCTATAGTGTTCCTTTACGCCTTCCAGCAAGGCGCCTCTTTGGCGTACAACTACTGGCTCAGCATGTGGGCCGATGATCCTGTTGTTAATGGCACTCAGATCGACACAGACCTCAAGCTGGCTGTTTTTGGAGCTCTCGGTTTTGCACAAGGTTAGTTACGACTGTACACTCAATGCTAAATACACTGTCAGATTTGTTTGCCTGTAAACTTGGAAAGGAGTTTTATCTGCTCCCATAAAAAGCCGCAAATTGTTGAGTATGATTTGGTTTCGTCTTGGTAACTGGGGCTGGGCATGTATTGAATATGCCAAACAGAATATGGAAAAGAGAAATAAAAATAATGCACCAGGAAAACAGTAGTAAACAAACTTAACTGGACAAAAAGCTTAACTTGGATTTTATGGGCTCATACACTGCTCTTCCGCACAAACAGGCATAGCCATTTTCGGTACAACTGTGGCCATCTCGATCTGTGGCATCATCGCCTCTCGTCATCTGCACATGGAGCTCCTCATAAACGTGCTGCGCTCCCCCATGTCCTTCTTCGAGAGCACGCCCAGTGGGAACCTGCTGAACCGATTCGCCAAAGAGATCGACGCCATTGACTGCATGGTCCCCGAAGGCCTGAAGATGATGCTGAACTACGTGTTCAAACTCATGGAGGTCTGCATCATCGTGCTGATGGCCACGCCCTTCGCCGCAGTCATCATCCTGCCAATGGCCCTCCTCTACGCCTGCGTCCAGGTATGTTGCACTCGGATTCGACCCACTCAACTTTATTCATAAAGAACATTCAAATGGCAAGACCAAAGTTCTGCACTCAAGACTACAAAAACACCGGTACTTTTTTTATCTGCAAATAGTAAATGATAACCACTAAAAGATACTAGAAAAATACAGGAAAACAATTAACTAAAGAAGATCTAAAAACAAACCTCTACTGTGTTATTCCCTGAACCTTTTCATTTCACATTTGGGATGCTCAATTCTGCTCAAAGAGATTCTCCGGAAAAATGCAAATATTATCACAAAGAGAACATCTGTACTGTAATTCATAAATAAACAGTTATGTAGTTTTTAGTTTCAGGATAGGCTTATGACGATACTAGAACCTACAAGTAATAAGTTCCTTACTTACACCTGGATAATTATTCAGAGAGTATACTGTACCTAATATATTGTGTTCCAGTAAATAAACATGCAATGTGTATATTAATTCCCTGGAGGTTTTTTTTTACTGTTGTGGCTCAAAACTCCCTGCTCCTTGCGTGTGAGCTGACTCGCCTATCCACAGATCTCACCTGTTACTTGGCCTAGTTGCATCACCTTTTTGGAAAAACTCCCTACAAAGACAAATAAATGACAAGTAGTCTACCAGAAAAGTTACATAATTCTCCTCAAATAGCCTCTGTACACTTTAGTTCAACTCCTACAGTGTCCACAGAAATGGTAAAAGTGCTTTGAATTTATATGAGCTATATGAATAAATATTACTTACTTACTTACGTAATAGTGTTGATTTTGCAGGTTTTCTCTGTATTTTGTTCCCTCGACCTGCTGACACGCTGATTGCAACCTGGATTTATGGGAAACTCTTGACTGCTCCTTTCTTTCTCCGCTCATTAAAACATGTTTTACTTTTCCGTTTTGCCCAAAGAGCTTTTACGTTGCCACATCCTGTCAGCTGCGGAGACTCGAGGCCGTGAGCCGATCCCCCATCTACACTCACTTCAACGAGACGGTGCAAGGTGCCAGTGTGATCCGCGCCTTTGGAGAACAGCCACGCTTTATTCTGCAGGCCAACGACAGAGTGGACTTCAATCAAACCTCCTACTTTCCAAGATTTGTGGCCACCCGGTGAGTTCAAATGTGAATGCTGAAAGATGCTCATAGTTGGAGCGTAATTATAAAAAGGCCGCTTACGTGTATTCTCAATCTCAAGGTGGCTGGCTGTCAATCTGGAGTTTGTTGGAAACGGTGTGGTTTTAGCTGCTTCTATACTTTCTGTGATGGGAAGAAGCACCTTGAGCCCAGGGATTGTCGGGTTGGCAGTGTCACACTCCCTTCAGGTGAATATACACATACACGCTACACATACAATGCACATGTAAAATCTAATCAGTAAAATGCTGATTAGATTTTGAGTCTTAAATTTGAGTCTTTAAAAACAACATTTTTGTGGGTTTTTTCAGGTGACTGGAATCCTGAGTTGGATTGTGAGGTCTTGGACAGATGTGGAGAACAACATTGTTTCCGTGGAGAGAGTCAATGAGTACGCTGATACTGCCAAGGAGGTCAGCCTTGACACATTGTGCATTACAGAAAAGAACAGTGATGTCTGTCGTGATTGCTGTTTGAATGCCAAGTTAAACGCAATTCTTGTTTTATTTTATTGTCTGAATTAGGCGAGTTGGACCAATGAGGGCAGCTCTTTACCTCTAGCTTGGCCTCAAAAGGGCAAGATTGAATTCCAGGACTTCGGGCTGCAGTACCGTAAAGGCTTGGAGTTGGCTCTGAAAGGCATCACTCTGAATGTCCAAGAAAGAGAAAAAGTAAGGACCTTTGTGTATGCAGTGGTGATGGAATTTCCACATAACATTGTCAGTCACACCAGTGTCTTAACCATAAATAAATCTTTTCCAAGGTTGGGATTGTGGGCCGTACCGGAGCAGGGAAGTCCTCACTTGCCCTGGGAATTTTTCGCATTTTAGAAGCTGCAAAAGGAAAGATCTTTGTAGATGGAGTTAACATTGCTGACATTGGACTGCATGACCTCCGCTCACGCATTACCATCATTCCTCAGGTACAACTTCAGCAATAACACAAGCAGGGCTCTGTCTTTTATCACATAAACTGTTTACACAAGTTAAAGCCTGAGTTCAATAACAGGTTGTACGTTTATCCAGCAGTCATTCAAATCTTCCGTTTTCCCTCCAGGACCCTGTGCTTTTCTCTGGCTCTCTGCGAATGAACCTCGACCCGTTTGATTCCTATTCAGATGAGGAAGTGTGGAGTGCACTGGAGCTGGCGCATCTGAAGAATTTTGTTTCAAATCTACCGGACAAACTCAACTACGAATGTTCAGAAGGCGGTGAAAACCTCAGGTAACCATCACTACTATGTTGGACTGTTTAATGGTTCCCTCTGTTGAAAAAGGACAAAAGGAGGTCTACACACCTACAAGGCTGCCACTTCTTTTTTATGGCTTACAAGTTGCCCCCATTGTTGCCCTCTGGAAATGTTTGGGAGTTAGAACATTAATATATGATATGATGATGAATAACATTATTGGATTAATTTGAACTATAAATATAAAGAAGATGGACTGAGTAGAGATGTTATATCACACATAGACATGACGCACAAAAGACGCATGTTGCAAAGACATTGACAATAGCCCCAATGCGATAGTGTATACTGTATGTGCTTATGTGTGTATGGTTTCAGTCTGGGACAGCGGCAGCTCGTGTGCCTGGCTCGAGCTTTACTGAGGAAAACCAAGATCCTGGTTTTGGATGAAGCGACAGCTGCTGTAGATCTGGAGACCGACACACTCATCCAATCGACTATTCGCATTCAGTTTGAAGACTGCACTGTGCTGACCATCGCCCATCGACTCAACACTATCATGGACTACACTAGGTTTGTAAATTACTTGTACTATTTATGGAGCACAATAAAGTGAATAGTTTTTACTTCTGGTTTTTCTTCTGCAGAGTGATTGTAATGGACAGAGGCCACATCTCAGAAATGGACACTCCTGCCAACCTCCTTGCACAGAGAGGACAGTTTTACCGAATGTGCAGAGAAGCTGGTCTGGTGTAGCTCAGTTCAGGGCCTGGGCCTCGAAGAAGGCTGAACACAGATGCAGGACACTTTTTGAGTGTCTCAACAACACACCGTTAATAATCATGTCAAGCTACAGTATGTGGCAGCTCAAATTGCCTCCCTGTGAAGGCATTGTCGAAGAATCTCAAGTAAACTGCACACAGTCTCAGTGAGAGACACGCTGTCTGAAATCAGGAAATGACCTCTGCTGCTGAAAGGGTCTAAACTGTAAATACTGAAGTGGAGTCTGTTTGTTCCGTAAAAGCGTTAAACCAAGGGCTGGAATAAAAGTGCCACATATTTTCATTCTCTTTTTTGAATGGCTGTAATACTATTTTTGTAGTTTATGAAGCACATGACATATTCTAAATGTTCATGGTTTGATGTCTCAGGCTTTTAATGATCATGTTTACTCTTGTTTTTTATCATCTATAAGTAAATGGTCTATATGTGATTTTATTGTTCATTCCTGCCTGATAAAGTGGGACAGGAAACACACTAACCTTCGGAAGGGTCACTCTGGCAGATGCTGGAGATATGAGGTTTTGAGCCTTCTCAATTTCAGCTTTAACTTGCCAACTCTGAGATTTTAAATGTCGGGGGAAAGAGAAATCACACTGACGTGAGCCAGCACATTAGCAATGGTCCAACTATGTGGCTCTTGTTTATTTCGGTCAAAGTAAACACATAAAGATGTCCATACTGTTCTTGTTGGTTAGATTTAACCTGAAACCACCATGAATGAAGACAACTCTCCTCAAAACAAACAATAGTGATAAATCTGTATGTTTGCAACTGTCTCCGTATTTCACCACACAACTCCCGCTTATACAAAATAAATCAGTATTGTTCCTCTGGTGCTGACATGACAAACTGTAAATATTGCACACTGGCCTTGTCTGGTGTGAGCTGAAGATCCAAAGACCTGCAGTAGAGGAGGCGATTTGTCTTATTTGTCTTACTGGTTTAGACAATATTCATGGAGACACCATTTTATTTATGTCATATTTGGAAAGAAGTGTCCTTAAAGTGATAAAGTGTTTATATTTATACTTTTATAACAGGCTTGTTGATTTGACCATTTTATTGTAATGAACCGTATTTGCTGTAAAATAAACTCATTTATATATTTGGTCTTTTTCGTCTTTCTGATTTATTGGGAAGAATAGCACGTTGTGGGAAGCTCTATGGGACTAATGACTGTGACCATGTGAAATAAAAACTTTAGCACGTCGTCGCATTAGTGTAGGTGTAGTTTTGACCCTCGCCAGCAGGGGGCAGTAGTCACAGCTGCAGAGAGTGGCTTGTTTACATTTGGCACAATGGCGACCACAGTCACGGAGCTGAAGTGCGGTGAGAAACTGTGTTTTTTAAAGTTAATAAAGCGGTGACGAAAAAGTGTGGCCAGGATGGACTAAACGAAACTCTAGACTTGACTCCAGAAAAGCTTGGATTCTTCATGCTGAGGGTCAAATGACGGTTTAAAAGCTGGGGTACCTAACTTTTCTGGATTTGTCTCGACAGAAAGAGTTTCGTTTAAGTAAGTCCTGATACTTTCTTTTTACACTGAATACGCGAATCCAAAGATGTTATTGGGGCCAAAAATATATGTGAAAGATCATATTAGTACAGTTTGGGAGCGAGGAACTAGCTATACTACAATCTATGACAATACTCACTATGTTAGAGGGAGTTTAACTCTGTTAATGGTCTAACTTTGTGAGTTTTAATTCTAGAAATGTAGCTGAATGTGTAATATTACATACTCATCCCAACAGAAACAGCATCGTTTTAAATCCGACCACAACATGCTGTGTTTACATGTTGTTCTCAGAGCTGAGTGAGGCTGATTCGTTTTCACTCAAAGGGCCAAATATCCAGAAGATCCATGTTGTGGTCTGATTCATTCACAAGACTGTTTGCACAAACAAGACGAACAGCATCATGTATTATTCATTAGACAAAAAAGTGAGGTACCCCAGCATTAATTAATTTCTCTACTTAAGCTTCTAAGTAAATCAACACAATCATAATTTTCTCTTTTCTTTGTGTATGTATTTATTTTGGTACAATATACTATAGATACCTTCTGGCTCTCAACACTGGCTCTCAAATTGTCACGTGGTGACTAATTTTGATAAACAATATTTTGTGTCAGACAATAATAAACAACAAAAGACTTGTACAATTATCTAAGCAAAGCAATATTTAGATTTATTTTCATTAAAAACCGCAGAACTTCATATTTATCTCTATTGGATCCTCTACAGCGGAAGTGTCAAACTGTTTTTGGTCGGGGTCGAATGTTAATCATGTAGAATATCTGCGGCCGTGGAGATGACGAGGATGTCATTGAAGATCAATCAACAAGCGGAATCACAACAAAGTTGGAGGCTTTGGTGTCTTTCAGAAAATAAATCTCAAAGTCAAAGTAAATTAACAATTAGCGTTATAACTACGCTTATGATGTCACAGCAGTATTCACCCAGCCTACTACTATATGGTTTTAGTTTGCTATTAAAGAAAAGCTTTGTGTTAACGTTTGCTTATTTCCTCAAATGTTATTAACGAGCTTACGAGCTCTGACAGGAGATACATTAGACAACATTGGAGGCCCCTCAGGTGCATGGGCTTAAGGGAAGTGCAATAAAGACTGCCCTTAAAGAGCGACTAAACACCTTACTCTGCCCATATGAACATTGAACATTTGAAAATGTTCTCCAAAAAGGCCTTTGCCTGGAGAACCAAGGGACAAGAAGGGGGGCTGAGAGTTAGGCATGGTCTTGGTCTGTGATTGACAGCTCGCTTGTCAATCACAAAAAACAGACTGTTGTCATTGCTGCTTAAAGCAATAGTCTCATTGCTCACACTCCAGAAAGTCTCATTCCACCCTTGTTTACTCACTAAGATATTTGTAGAGCTACACACCTGAACCTAAGCCACAGAATTATCCTAGCAGTAATGACTGTCAACTGATTTATTTTTATTTAAACCACAAGATGTCGCCAGAATACTCCAACCTGCTGCTGGGGCGTGTGTGAGAGTTGGATGGGTTTATATCACTGGCGCAGACAGACGCACGTCACACAGTACTCCAGAGCCAATGGAGAGGCCAGGCACAACATTTGATTGTACCAAAAAGGTAGAGAGACTGTTAGGCTTAAAAGAGAGATTTTATTTTATTTTAATTTGCCCTAAAATGTCAAAAAAAAATGACCAGGACATGTAGAGCGCACTGTAAGAAACATATTTATGCCGTTTGAGTTAAAAAAAGTTGATTTGGTGTTTTGTTTTAAGATAACACCAGAAGTGCTGTTGCAGAAGAGCACAGTCATTTGTAAAACATCTAATGGTAGGCCAAGTTTCTCGTCATATTTGTTATTAATTTTGAATATGTTTTTGTTCCTTATAGGAAAACACTTAGGCATTGAGTACTTCTATGATCGAAATAATGCTGTGATTGGGGACTATAAAGCTTATGGAGTAGGTTAATGGAGAAAATCTATGGAGATAGAGGACATTGTGCTTCCTGATGACGAGCCGGAGATGAATCCCTAGGATATAGATCCAACTGTCAGCCCTATGACTAATATCTGCCCAGGTGAGTTGTGGATGTCTGTTTAGACTGAGGCTCCTAATGCAAATTTCTCTGCGTTCACATGAGGTTGAAAAACGATGTAGTTCTAGCGCCCGGCCAGTAGTGGGCAGAGAAACTTTACAACACGACACATGACCCCGAGCCGCGTGCCCAGCCCCCCTCTCGGCAGTGTACTCACTTCCTGTGCCAGTTAGCGACTTTGTCGCTAGATTTAGCGACTTTTCAGACCCCTATAGCGACTTTTTTTCAAAAAAGCGACTAGCGACAAATCTAGCGACTTTTTCTGGTGTTATTGGCGACTTATCTGGTGTTTTGGCGACTTATCTGGTGTTTTGGAGACTCGTGAAGCACGTATTGTTCTGCTGTCCTCAACGTGAGCCCCTCCCCCGTCCCAAAGCACTTACAGGCGGCCAGTCTCACAGTAGCCTTGCGCAGCAGTCCCAGCTACAGTCTATGGGCGGAGCAGAGAGAGAGAGAGGAGACTCAAAAGCACAGGGAGTTTTCAGGCTGCTGCAGACTGAACTTCAGCTCCACCACACATCCAAAGCTCCCCGGCCACTCCTACCACCGCCACCCCCCACTACCCCCCACTCCATCCGCGGCAGCTCTGTCCGTGACTCTGTTTTCTCTCAGTAGTGGGTCACATTAAATCATTTGTTATGCCAAACTATGAAAAAAAAAAAAAACTTACAAAAATAAACCTAAGTAACTCTGCCAGAGTGTGTCTTTTGGGTCACTTTGCCGGTCCCAAGCCCGGATAAAGGAGGAGGGTTGGTTAGAGCTAGCAATTTCACCCTACATAACAATCTTTTGATTACTATTTGCTGTTATAACATTTAACAATACAGGACAAAACTGATGTGTGTAATGTGGATCTAGACAAAGCATTAAAATCATTAAATGTTGTTAATGTTGAAATTATTTTTGTACATTTGTAGTTCTAAACATATTTAGGGTGTTTTTACTCACTTTTGTCTCTCCCACGACCTTATTCCTCTCTCCTACAGCGTCCGTTACAGTTATTTGCAAATTGCAAATTATGCAAATTAGGCGATGACGTCATTTAGCGACTTCTAGCGACTTTTGGGACAGCCAATAGCTACTTTCCTTACTGAGGAGTTGGCAACACTGGTGCCAGACCCTCAGAAAGTACCAACATCATTCTGCATTTTAACAGCAGCTGTGAACATGGGAACTGAACCTAGAGCTTCGTGTGGTCTCGTTTGGACGAACGAAGGAGTAGAATTATCCTCTGTGCCGCGCTGGAAGCCCACGTAGCTAGTTAGTGCGCGGGGCGCCATTTTTGTTTTCGTTTGTTCTCCGCTACTGCGCATGTCCAAATTTACGTGCGGGGAGCAGCGCGGAGGTGGGGGTCAGAGCAGAGGGGGATTTCACACCTTTTTCCCTCTCGCGGGTGTGAAAGAGAGCCCCCGCTGTGCAGCGTTTCTGAGTTGTCCCACTCTGCAGGCTGGATCTGAACACTTACGTTTTCACCCCCCTGGAACACAGTCTTCGTATGAACGGTTGGTAGCAACCGACATCCAACTATACCGTTTTACTGCCACATTGTCTCCGTGTAAACTCAGCCTGAGGAACCATGGTTTGGCCTTGTCCCATGAAGAGGCTTTTGAAGTTGTCACCTTATGGAGCCATCTGCAGGACAACAACAAGAATTAATAGTTACTTATGTAACTTAAGTTCTACGAATAGGTGCGTAGTCCCTTAGGACTTCGCTAGTGGGATATCACTCGTGACCCCCAGGTCACGCGCCAGAGAGATCAAAATAATTTGCTCCAATCACCAGCCACCTTCCTCTATAAATGCCCCTGCACAAGGCCGCACCCCCTCTTGAACTCTGCCAAGCCGGGCTGGCCTGATGGGCTCGTAGCTAAGGGACTACGCACCTATTCGTAGAACTTAAGTTACATAAGTAACTATTAATTCTACGTCATGGTGCTACGTCCCTTAGGACTTCGCTAGTGGGACACAACGCGGAGGCCGTAGGAAATGTACTCCCAACAGGCCAGCGAAGGGTGATTGGAGCTCCGCCCGAGCAAGACCCTCACAAAGTGAGAGGACTCAGGGCAGAAGAAACAATGCGTGTTACAGGGCCACTCCTACCAAGGATACCCCCACGTAACACAGATATAGGTCATCCGTAGTCACAGGACGCCTCTCCCAAGGGCTCCTGACGTGGACTACCAGACCGACCAAAACACACATATATGTACCGCACCTGTAGGATGCCTCTCCCAAGAGCTCCTGAATCAGGGCGGAAAGTAAACCGAAGGCCCCCTCAGAGGAGGGACCTAACGGTCTAACTCAGTCCGCTGCACTCAGCACGGAATGGGCCACCGCCCGGTCCGACACATCCAAAGATAAGACCGGACGAAAGAGGAGGACGAAGCCCAAGAAACCGCACGGCATACGTCCTCGACCGACACCCCCCTGAGAAGGGCCGTAGAGGCCGCCATCCCACGCGTGGAATGCGACCTGAAGCCCACCGGGAGGGCCAGACCCTGCGTCTGATACGCCCGCCGCACAGCCGTGGCAACCCAGTGCGCCAGCCGCTGAGCCGACAGCGGGGCGCCCCTGTTCTTGGGGCCCAGACACACAACAGCTGGCCACCCAACCTGAATGACGACGTCATGGCCAGGTAATGCCTCAGCATTCTGACAGGACACAGAAGGTGCCGCCGCTCCTCCTCGGGGGAGGCATGCGGTGGCGGATAGAAAGCCCTAATCCTGATGACTCT